AAGTGAGCGCAAAAAAAATATTCAAAATGTGAGCTTTAATATGATTAAAAATATGCGTATTTCATTCAACCTCGACATGAATACACATAGGTCACACGCTCTATCTATGGGGGCGCGTGTATGCAGGTGCCTTGCTTTGTTTATTACAGTCACTGGGACTCGGCTTCATACCCTTTTCACTGGCGCAGCGTACAGGGCATGTAAAGAGCAGAGCAGCAAAACGATTTAACACTCAACGGCTACAACAGGCCACGCTGCAGAGGCATACACAGTCTCATTCCGCTTGCTTTTTGCATGACAGGCAAATGTAGGTTGCAGGCATTGCAAATGCCGTTTGCTGGCTGCCAGGCAAAACACTTTAAGTCTTCAAATCGAGATCTGTGACAGGTACTGGCCAGCTTGGCTTGGCCTGGCTGTGAGGGGCCTGGAGGCAGCCGGATAGCGGCTGTCAGTTGTCACCTTCGACCACACGACGGCATTTTGCACATGCTTGTGAATGACAAGCTGGTATATTGTCCAAATCTGTGCTTCAAGCCAACAGTAGCCGACTGATGATTCATTTGAGTGTGTATGTGTGTATGTGTGTATGTGCATAGGAGCTAACATATCGCTCGGCTCTGGTGCTTGTTCGAATTGCCAGTAGATATCTGGCAACTGGGTATCTGTGTTGGTCAGTTTGCTTTCGGATTTGCTCTCACCTCGTTTCCTTTAAGTGGCCATCAAGCACTGATGTTATTATACACAGCCAGACACACATACTCATTCACTCAGATACACATACATACGTGCATATAGGAGGCAATCAAAGCCATGTTGACGTCCAATTTAGCTGCTGTTGATTTGTGTCGTGGGTTTTTGTTTTTGTGACTTCACTTTTCCGAGGCTGCAGCCGCCTTTAGGTTTTGTTGTCTAAGCCTGTCGGTTACGCAACCATTTCGCAGCACATTTCAGCAGCGTTTTTTGCTGGGCTGTATTTTTTCCGAGCTCGGGTTTGGCCATCGAGCAGAGGCAGGCAAAAGGAAAAGCAAAACCTTGAAATGTTTACACGTGATTTATGGCGCGGAATTTTCGTTTACGTGGCTCTTTTACGGCATCGGCTGCAGCTGCCCCAAAAATACGTATTGTCCAAGCTGGCAGCTAAAGCTCCACCAGGATGTACACGTAATAAACTTTAAGCTGAAAACATTTCCTATATACCAATGGTACCACCGTCCTAAAATATTTGAGCCAAGTTTGTGCAATCCTAAAATCCGAGTCGTACAAATCAAGAGATTAGCCGAGCTTTTAACTTTTTCAAAATATGTGCATTTTAAATTGTTTTGTTTTCTTACTTCTCTGCTCAAGCTCTCTCTTTCTCTTATTAGCATAAGAGAGAGATAGCTCTTTCTCGCTCTCTTTATTTATATGTATTCATCTCTCTCTCTCTCTCTCTCTCAGCCTCTCACTAACTATATTTCTCTATCTCGCTGTCCCTTCCTCTCTATTTCCGTCTGTATCTCTCTGTCTCGATTTATCTTTCTTTCTCTCTCTTTCTGACTTGCTCGGTGTCTCTCTCTTTCTCTCTCTCTTCGACTACCTATCCAAATTTCCATCGGTTTATGTAATGCAGTTCGTATAAGGCAATTTATTTATTTAGGTTAAAACACAGGAGAATAATC